TATGTATAATATGTATATGTATATATGTATATAGGTAATATCATGTCTATATGTATATATATATGTATATATGGATATATATATATTATATAAATATATTATATTATACACACATATATATATATATATATATATATATAGATATATAATATATATTATATATATTAATGTTATATAATATATGTATTATATATATATACATACATATATATATATATATTATATATATATAATATATATATAATATATATAATATATATAATATATATATTATATATATAATATATTTACATTGGAATATTTAAGAGGTATTCTTTAATTTTGTGTTAGAATTTAAGGAAGCTGTTAATGTTCTTTAATAAGATATGGGTAGCATGTTCCATAACTTGGGTGCTACGGATGGAGAGAGCAGAGAGACAGGAACAGAAATGAAAGAACAGGAGATTGTATAGAGATCGGAGAGAAATGACGAAAGAGGGAACAACAACACTACTGTCGACTGGCAATCACCGACCCGATATGATGCCTCTATCGCTCTATCTCTCTCTCTCTCCTCATCGATGAGTCACGATACTATACATCTCTCTATCTAACTAACTCGATATCTCTCTCTCTCCCTCCCTCTCTCCTCTCTCTCTCTCCCTCTCTCTCTCTCTCTCTCTCTCTCTCTCTCTCTCTCTCTCTCTCTCTCTCTCTCTCTCTCTCCATACCCCCCCTCTCACTCTCTCCCTATCTCTTTCTCAGAGAGAGACACAGATAGGTTGATAGAGAGAGAGAGAGAAATAAGAATAGGGAGAGAAATAGGAATAGAATGAGATTTAGGGATAGAGAGTATCTCTCTCTCTCTCTCTCTCTTTATCTATTTTACTCTCTCTCTCTATTTCCCTATCTCTTTCTCTATCTCTTTCTCTTTTCCTATCTCTCTGTTTCCCCATCTCTCTCTCTTTCATTGTCTCTCTCTCTCTTTCCCTATCTCTCTCTTTTTCCCTATATAATCTCTCTCTTTTTCCCTATATATATCTCTCTCTCTTTCCCTATATCTCTCCCTGTCTTTCCCTATATATATATATATAATATCTCTTTCCCTATATATATATATATATATATATATATCTTTCGCTATCACTCTCTCTCTCTTTCGCTATCACTCTCTCTCTTTCGCTATCACTCTCTCTCTCTTTCGCTATCACTCTCTCTCTCTTTCGCTATCACTCTCTTTCTCTTTCGCTATCACTCTCTCTCTCTTTCGCTATCACTCTCTCTCTCTTTCGCTATCACTCTCTCTCTCTTTCGCTATCACTCTCTCTCTCTTTCGCTATCACTCTCTCTCTTTTTTCGCTATCACTCTCTCTCTCTTTCCCCTACCTCTCCCTCTCTCTCTTTCCCCTATCTCTTTCCCCTATCTCTCCCTCTCTCTCTTTCCCCTATCTCTCCCTCTCTCTCTTTCCCCTATCTCTCTCTCGCTCTCTTTCCCAATCTCCCTCTCTTTCCCTATCTCCCTCTCCCTGTCTCTTTTTTTCCCTATCTCCCTCTTTCTTTCCCTATGTCTCTCTCCCTCAGAGAGAGAGAGAGAGAGAGAGAGAGAGAGAGAGAGAGAGAGAGAGAGAGAGAGAGAGAGAGAGAGAGAGAGAGAGAGAGAGAGGAAGTGGGGGAGTCGAAGGTGAGTTCTGAAGATCACTGTATCACATTGAGCTTTGACATTTAAACAGTGTAACTCTTACCTGGCGGTGGGGTGTGGGGGGCGGGGTTGTTATTACCTCATCCAGAGATTGTGTCACCCGGCGCTACACGTGCGTTCGTCGTTGGTGCGGGAGTGTGCGGGGGAGGGCGAGAACCTTTTATTCCTCTCTCTTTATTTTCGCGTCTACAGGTGAGAGAGGAGGGGTGAGGAGAGGGAGAGAAACGTCGATGGCTGTATGTATCTATTGTTGATGTGTTTGCGGATTTATGTTCATAGGTATTGTCACCGTGTGGGAGAGGGAGAGAGGGGAAGAGGGAGAAGGAAAAAAAGGGTGTGAGGAAAGTTCATTCGCCCTTTGGATCTGGGAGGGCGTGGCTGTCTGATACGTCGGCGTGCATGGCTTAGCGAAATTGGTTAATTGCTCGATCGTCTCATAGCTTCCGAACAGCCTACAGGCAATCCATCTCGGCGCGTAGGCAGAAGACGCAGCGAAGAACCTGGAAGCCTTGGTGGAAATGCGTATAGCGCGTTGCAGCGTGGGAGGCGTAGGCGGCCATGTGTAGGCGGTCTTATAATCTGTACTTTGATGTACTCTGACGGCTATGTAGAAAAAAAAAATAATAATTCGTTTTTTTTTTTAAGATAAAGATAAACACGATTATATTGTTATCATTATTATTGGTAGTAGTAATATTTTCAGTGTTATTATCATTGCTATTATTTCCAATATTATTATTATTATGATACTCATAATAGCAATAATTATAATGACAATAATGATAATGATCGATTGTTGAAACCAGTGGTCCCAAACCTTTTTGTACTCGCGACCCATTAACCTCCAATACGCCTCCCCCGACATCGACCGTTCGATTTTGAATTTTTCGTGCTGCATATTTTTAGGCTAAGAAAAAGTAAAATATCTCCGCAAACTGTACAAACGTCAATATTCCATGAAGGTCTGATGCATTATTAATAGACGAACGCCTAGTAAATTAGCCTTCCCTTTTTAACCCAAGGCTTTGCGACCTCCTTAGGGGAACCGCTGAATTGAGAATTTCTATGTGAGATGGTCTGTCTCCTTCTTCGAACTGTGATTATGCATAGAGAGAAAGCTTACTTCATCTAAATACTAGTTTTTTTTTCTTATTGTAAGGTGAGCGTTTTTTTGTTGTATTGACATGAGATGAAAAGCGAGTTCTATAAGACTGGGTTATTTGCTTTTCATATTGATTTGTATTGATTTGATTACCATTAATATTTTATTCCTTTGTGTAACAGTATGTTTTGTGATTTTATTATGTGCATACGCACGAATGCAAAAAAAAAAAGGATTTATATATTTATTTATGTTCTATTTTTTTTCTACAAAGAAACTAAATCACACTTTGAAATTAGACTCCGTGTTTTCAATACGATTTTTTTTTTTAGTTTAGTCCTTTATTTACCACTCTGGCTAACTGCACAGGCGTGAGTTGATAGGGAAAAAGAGAGACAGAAAGGGAGGAGAGAGAGAGAGAGAGAGAGGGGGGGGGGAGAAAGAAAGAAAAAGAAAGAGAGAGAGAGTGAGAGAGATAGGGAAAGAGAGAGAGAGAGATAGGGAAAGAGAGATATAGAGATAGGGAAAGAGAGAGATAGAGATAGGGAAAGAGAGAGATAGAGATAGGGAAAGAGAGAGATAGAGATAGGGAAAGAGAGAGATAGAGATAGGGAAAGAGAGAGATAGAGATAGGGAAAGAGAGAGATAGAGATAGGGAAAGAGAGAGAGATAGATAGGGAAAGAGAAACAGAAACTCTTGGGCACAGAATGTAAAACTTGAATGACCATAACATAATATAATGGTATTACATTGGAATTTTAGGCTAAAGCATTATAATAATAAGTACTATATTATGATAAATACTTTATATCACTCTTCTGCGTGGAAAGGCATTGTTACATTTGATATGCGGTCATGTGATACTGCATTCCAAATTTAGGATAAGTATAAGTATATCATCTAAGACTTCAGATATGAAATGGTTACATAGTTCTCCGTACCTCATGCTAGGTGGTCTGAAAGGCTGTAACGCATGGCACTCTGAGATATAAAGTACAAATATTCGCTTATATTCTTCATTACATCGTTTACACTTCATTTCTTCGATATTTCAAATTGTACTGACCTACCAATACAATTTATATCCAAACCTGATTCTTGCGGTCACAGTACCACACTGTCTTGTTCTTGTTTTATATAAACCATAAATGAATGAATCTTGCGTAAACCGGTCATAGTGCTTTGTGCTACAGGTTTCAGGTCGTTGAGAGTTAATCAACTAAGTCAAGTCCTCTTTGAAGGAAGCTTTAATGGTGTATAAAATCCTAGAAAGAGGTACCCCAAGATCTATATCCACAATTCGCTTGTCACATGCTGACTTTACTAAACGATCAGCATGATCGTGCCAGTAATAAAATCCGGTGGGCTTTACCCGTAGATTTGTAAAGCGAACTAACATAAGACTGTTCCCTCTCTGCTCGTCACCCGTTCCACCCTTTCTCAGACCAACACTTGCCCCTTCCACTTTCACTTACTCTGCCACTTTTCCCTTTCACCCTCCCTACCCTGCCACCATTCTTCCATTTATCCTCTCCACCCTTCCCCAAACACACCAACACTTGCACCTTCGATCATCCCTCCCTCTCTCATTTACTCTTTCCACCCTCACTAACAAATCGCCTTTCTAGAAGATTTTTGTAAACTTTTGACATTTTGAAGTTTTAATTATGATCTTGATACTATCGTCTTACCACACGCTTATTATAAAAAGAATCTCGACGTGTGGGGATAATCTCTTTTACTGAAGTGTAGAAAATGTATTAAGAACCTAATGGTATTAAAAAATAATGATATTGATAATAATGCCGATAACGATAACAATAATACTGATGGTGACGGTGATAATGATGAAAATGAGTGATAAGGACATTGCTAATGATAGATATACAATATATGATAGTGTAAGGATAATGCACATGATAATAATGTAACGAGCACTTAAGTGTCATGCCTCCCGTTAACATAAGTAATACCGAAAATTTTTGCTCAACGCTACACTTGCGTCGGCGAGAAGAAAAGTACATTTCCTGTCCTTACCATCCGAGAGATCGTTACCCTCGCATGAAATTTTGTCACATTACCTAACATTCACGATTATTAATTACATGCCGGGAGTCTAAACAATGACCGTGAATTGTGTTAAATGAAGCAGTGGAGAATAAGGTTATGGTATTTACACACATTCACTTGTTTTATTTGTTTGTTTTTTTCTTTTTCAGGGCGAGACGTACACACTGGTAATGGTGGACCCCGATGCCCCGAACCACAAAGCTGGTGAAGCCTGGTTGCACTGGATCCTTTCAAACGTTGAGGTACTTTTCCTTATTTATAGAGAGGGAGAGAGTAAGAGAAAAAGAAACAAAGCACGCAAAAGAAACTTCATTAATAGTTAGAATAAATGTGCGAACGAGCAACATCTCACCAGGGTCATCATCTTGAATATTGCATCACCGCGCCTGTCTTGCAAGCGTGTTTGCAAAGATTCTCTCTTGTGTCTAAAATTAGTGTTGCTGCCGGGATGGA